TGTGGGCTTACCGGACAACAAGCCGAACTGCCACAGGTATGTCCCTCACTTTGATTCTCTTTTCTATTACCTTATTTACAGTTACAGACTACCCTTTAAAGTAAGTCCTAAAGTTAGTCTTTTGCAAATAGGCGAAACGCCCTACCACTTAGCCTTCGGCACCGAGGCAGTCATTCCTGTCGAAATTGGTGTCCCAAGCCTAAGAATCAGTCACTTTGAACCAGCTCAAAATGAGCGTCTACTAAGGGAAAACCTTGATTTCCTAGACGAAGTCCGAGAGCAATCCCGACTTCGGACTCTAGCATACAAACAAAGGATAGCCAACCTTTACAATAAATGAGTCCGACCTCGAAACTTCAGAGTCGGTGACCTCGTCCTCAGAAAAGCTGGGCTCACAGGGTTCGAGACCCAATATGGTAAGCTAGCACCAAACTGGGAAGGCCCTTACATTGTAACCGAGGTCCCGTACCCCGAAGCATACATTCTCCAAGATGCCGAGGGCAAAAGGGTGCCTAGAGTTTGGAACGTCAACAATCTTAAAAAATTCCACCCTTGAAAGTTCCTTTCTTTATTCTGTGTTAGGCATCTTTTTGTAAATAACATTCCAGTACAATTGAAGACGACGTCAATTAAGGACGAAGTCAATTCCACTTCTTCAAACTTAATTGTATTAACAATGTCATTTTAACTTCTCCTATTTCGGATCACAAACGCAATAAAAAAGATTCAAATTCATTCCATTAATTTCCAATCGATTACAAAGAATATCTCTCAAAAAAAATAAAAATAAAAAATAACCGAGGCTAAATCTAGTCAACGGTTTGGCTCGGGCTGGCCGCAGGCTGCTCGGGGTTATCAACAGGCTGACTTGGCTGGTCAGCACCTTCAGCTGGCTTTTCAGCACCTTCGGTAACCTCGCCACCTTCGGTCCCCTCTTCCTCCACTGCCACGAATTCAAAGCTGAACTTGGGAGGTAAGACGGTTTGACCTCTGCTATCCCTCTCCCACTTCAGCGTTATCTTTGGGCGGAAGTCAGCAGCACTGCTCTCCCCGTCCTCCTCCACCTCCCCTTCTTGCTTTTCGAAGGTAATCTTTGTCACATCCACAGGAGGATATTGCAGTTTTACCTTCTTCCGGTAGTCAGAGAAAGCCACGATGACAGTAGGAAGACGGTAGAGGTTGACGATGTCCTTGAAGGTGTTGGACCTCAGGAACCCCTCCACATGCTCTTCGATTGAGTTGTGAACCTTGAGCTCCAACTCAACCACTGTCCTCCCCGCATGCTCCAGCTCATTCTCCCTCTTCTCGAGCTCAGCCTCGCATATCTTCCTTTTCTGGTACGAGATCTCCGAGTCCTTTTTGAAGGTGGCGTTTTCTTTCCGGAGTTCCTCCATCTCTACTTTCAGCCTCGCCACCTCGGCCTCGGCCTCCTCGTTCTTCTTGACAATCTCGGCATTGTCCTTCCTCATCTGGTTCCTCTCTTTCAAACTCTCGTGATGCTCGTTGGCCAAAGCATTCACGAGATTAACAGCCTGCACAGTGGAACCACCCCAACTCGTCAAACACTTAACAAAATCAGAATCCTTAAACTCCAAACGAGACGAAAAGACCATACCTCCAGTGTTTGACGGACAATGCCAATTGAACCCCTGGCAGCCACCTCGTCCTTCGCACGCTGGCGGTCCACCTCCGGGAAGTAAGTGTTGATGAACCTCTTTGCTGTGCTCCTCATCCCGGAGTCATAAAAGCTAGTTGTCTGCGCTAGGATGTTCCCTTGCTCTCGGAGTGCAGTAGCAAACTCAACAGCCGAGGCTGACGAGGTCCCTTCCAGGCGGAGGGTTGAAGTCACGGGCTCTCGTACCTCCTCTACCTCCTCCACGGCCTCTAGTCTCTCCAGCCTCCTCCTCTTCGCCACAATGGGCCCCCCCTCAGCAACCGTCACTTCACCCCCAACGTGGCCAGGCTGAGTAATGGCCAAGTTCTCCACTTCGACTTGAGGTAGTGAAACCTCCTCCCCCCGCCTCCTGACCTCACCTCTCTTCCCTCTTCCCTTCTTTGGAATTCCAGCTCCACCAGCTGCGTCCAAAACCTTGTTCATCTCTTCTACAAAACAAAACAAGGTTAAACTCTGATCAGAATTCTCGAACTAAATCAACAATTAAAGTTACACACCTCCCCTCTGTGAGCTCGGCCCATATATCTCAGTCGCGTCTAACATCCTCTGGCTCGTATACTCCATAACGTCCAGCAAACCCACGCCCCCTCTTTCCAACTCCCCCACATCCTCTAACTCCCCCGAGGTCAGACTATACTCGTTGAGGTTTAACCCTTTCGCCTTCCAGCGACTCAAGTGCTCCACCTC